TCTTATTTCAAAATCATGATATACTAGAGCTGACTCAGCTCTTTTTGTAATGTGCTGTACTGTGTTATCAAACCACCAGTTAATGATCCCTAAGCTTCAGCCATAATGCTGAACATTTTCCATGCCAAATGTCCAGAGGTAGATATCTGTATCTGAAAGCCTTGGTGAAAATAATTCAGTTCTTTTAAAGAAGGACTATTAGATGTCATGCTGCTCTGCTCATCTTTTTGTTTGAAGAGAAGGTTTGCTTGTGTTCTTTGTCTAAGAAAAAGTAGTGTCAAGAGATTCTGTTCTACAGAAGTAGGAGGAAGGAAAACATTATATGGTTGTACATGGATTGTCAAGTTTCTTCCCTTCTGAGGAAGAGTTTGGGATAGATAACCTAACAAATATTTGCAGTGAACAAATCAGCAGCAAAACACCCCCAGCTGCTGTTAGCTGAGTCCTTCCCCTCTGGTTCTGCCTCCTCACTGCTCTGTGCTGCACACAAAGCTTCTCTCCCATGAGCTTCAGTTGCTCCCAGAAAATCTTGCTGCTTCAGATCTTGCCCCTTCCCCAGAACACAGCAGCCCTGACTAAAGACCACAAGCTTTGAATGAGAACTCACACATTTCCATGGACAACTGTGCTCTTCTGCTTGGCTTCAGCATATATTCAGGGAATATTCCCTCAGGTCCAAAGCAAAACAAAATCCCCTTTGTAGGTTTCAGCTTTTGGAGTAGATCACCATCCCCTCCAAAGTTTATGTAGGAGCTTGCTGCTTCTGCCTCTTTTTTTGTGGCATTTTGTGTGTTGTGTTTTTGGGTCTTTTTGTAATGATCAACTTGTCTGTCTCTTGGGGTTTTTATATGTTTCACTGCAGAGGTATAAAAGCCCTATTAGAGGTTGAGATCCTGCAGCCCTTCATTAAAAAAGAAGAACTTCAGTAAAAATGTTAGTTATTCAGCATTGGGGAACTTAATTACATTTGTATTGGTAAAACACTTGGTTGAAGGTACCTATTCCCTGCTTTTCTGCTGCAGCATTTGGGATGGCTCATGCTTACACTCCTGCTCCATCATCAGGTGCACAGGCTGGCAGGATTTGGGTCTTCTCAATTGTATAAGCTTGGTTTGTTGCTAAAACCTGGTACAAAACTTACGGCTAAGGGATTCAAACAACTGGATTGCTGCAAGTGAAGTCCATCAGGCCGTGAAGAATTGAAAGCTTTAGTTTAGTGACATGTTGTGTCATGTGTTTTGTTGCTTTGACCCAGACCTGAGAGTTGCATAAATGTAATCTGAGTTACTGAGTTCATCTTTTGGTTTGGTTTCTTGCAGAATAGTAGCCTGGCAGAAAGCATTGCTAACTCCAAGCCAGAGAAGGATCCTCCAGATGTGGAGCTAAAGGCTGAGAATTTCATAATTGATGTAAGTACCTCTCGGAGCAGGTTCAAGTGAAAACTCCTCCATCACAGAGGGCTTTATGTACCACACTGAAAACTGGAGACACATTTCTGTGCCTTTCCAAAGCGAAAGAACAAACCCACAGGATGCCTTGGAACTGCTGTCCTGATTCAGCTGGAGGCTCTGGGGGCAACATTTCCCTGTGGGAGGTTGCTGTGGTGGGAGGGCCTGGGGTGGAGGCAGTGAACAGCCTCACTGGGCTGTCCTTTGGGCACCTCTCCTGGTGATAAATGTGTTCTCCCTTGACTGTCCTCGCTCCCAAAAAGAGTAGTGGGGAAACCTGTGGGGTTTGGTACATGGTTGCCAAACTGGGAACCACTGCTGTGGGTTCTGAAGGCAGGTAACCTGCAGGCCTCAGTGGGAGGCAAACAGGCACAGTGACATCCAGGCTTCTGGTGTTGCACACCTGGTGCATGACAGGCACTGCATAAAGCACCTTGATGCCACAGCTCAGTCTGCAGCCAGCACTGCTGGGGAGGAGAGAGCTGGGGCAGTCTGCAGGTATCACATAGCTTAATCCCTGTTCCTAGAGTCATAGACTCATAGAATCATCAAGGTTGGAAGATCCTCGAGTCCAACCATTAACCTGTCACTCTGCTGTAACCCCTAAACCCTAAACCATATCTTTAGCACCAGATCCAGACACCTCTTAAACACCTCCAGAGATGGTGACTCCACCACCTCCCTGGGCAATATTCCGGTGCCTGAACACCCTAACAAGGAAAACATTTCTCCTAACATCTCCTCTGACTCTGCCGTCTCAGCTCAAGGCCATTCCCTCTAGTCCTCTCCCTGCAGCCATGGTAGGAGAGACTGTCAGGTAGCTACCTGACTTATATGAGAGAGCCATGAGGTCACACGTGAGCCTCTCCTCAAGGCTAACCAACCCAAACTCCCTCAGCCCTTCCCCCTGTGCTCTGGCCCTTTCCTGCCCTCGCTGCCCTTGGCTGGACTCGCTCCAGTGCCTCAATGGCCTTTTTGCAGTGAGTGCCCAAAGCTGAGCACAGCACTGAGGTGTGACCTCCCCAGTGCTGAGAATTCTTGGTTAATTCTGGGAAGAGGTGGATTTCCGTAGAGTGCCTCACAAGTCACTCCCAAAGCTCCCTTACATTGCAGCTTCGCTTCAGGCTGGGTGCAATTGTAGCAGTTTACTGAACTTTAAAGTCCACGTGTGGAGGCTTTCCTTGTCCATACACTGCAGCTGTGGGAAGTGGGTGCCTCCCTGCTGACCACGGAGCTGTTGGTGCACTAGGCAGATGGACATGTTGTCCAAACCTCATGTTTACAGCTGTAAACTCTGCTGCTGCCTTTGTAGATTGTGTATTTTGGGAAGGTCCAGGCTGGCAAGGGACCAGTACACTGCCAGTGCTGGAAACTGGAATGTTTCTGAGCCCAGCTGGGAGCTGGTAAATGTGCTTCAGAGCAAGAGGTGGTGGAAGAAAAATACAGAACACAAGCACCAGATTGTTTTATTAAGTAATAATTTGTCAATTGCTGGTGTCATGGATTGCTGTGGTTTTCAGGGAATGCAGTGTGGAGCCTTTTGTCTTTATTGTCAGAAAACCAAAGACAAACATTAACAAATTCTGTTCTCTTTGTTTCACATGCAAAGATTATCAACATGGATTATGGAATGAAGGAGCAGAATCCGATTGATAAGGTTCACTTTTATTGCAAGGCTGATCCTTCCAAGGCAGTCAACATCAGTAAAGAACAGGTACTCTTTCATTTTCCTCCATGACTTCTGGAGAGCATCTTCACAGTCTGGAATGGAGGTGATTACAGTCCTGCATGGTTGTTCTTGCAGGAGTTGTGGAGAGGTGCTGGAGTCCATGGCCTTGCAGGTCTTCAGTGTGTGTTGCACTGTGACAATCTGGAATCCTGACAGCCTTTGCATGCAAACAGCATTTAACTGGAATGCACTGGGAGTTAGAAAAAAACAGTTGTTTGGGATAAAGCTCATGGATCGTAGTGGGATGTTTCTTAGTGCTTTTTCTTTTGTATTCAGATGAAAAAACTGAAGTTCAGTGGACTCTCAATTCCAAGAAACACTAAAGCTTATTTCTCTTTCATTCCAAAGGTTTCCAAGTTTTTGCCCATAACATTTGCAGAGCAGGTTATCCGGGTTTACTACAAAAGTCAGGATCCACGGATTATTTCAGCTGCAAAGCAGTACTTTATCCAGTGGTGTATGGAGAATGATTTCACCAAACCACAGGTAGCAAATTCACTTCCTGTTTTGCTCATTTAGAGCTAATAAGTTTGCTGTTTCATTAGAAAATTGGGCATTCAGGCCTTGCCTTTGTGCCAGAGGCACTGACCTATCTCCTGGTTTTATCCTGGCTCCAGTCTGGGTGTGTTTTGGTTTCACTGAAGTAGTTCTACAGGCACCTACAACTGTTCTTTGGGTAGAGAGCTGCATGCTCTGACTTGGGAGACCACCCTGGAGAGGAATGTTCTTAGGTGCTGGAGCCACAGCTACAGACATGGTAACTGTGTTTCAGGCTCATTCTTGGGTCATTCCTCTGGCACCTGTCTTTGGAGAACAGTTCCTTTCAGAAGGGCTTTTTAGAAATGGTCAGGCCACAAGCTTTCTCTGGTTGTAGAGTGTGGTTGTGTCTTGTAAGCATATTTTTCCAGTTCAGGCACATCCATCCTGCAGGCCTGGCATGTTGCAGAGCACAGCAGTGTGCATCTCATTAGCTTATTTCTGAGCCTGGAGAGCTGATTGTCCGTGTTGGCAGTGCCTGAGCACAAATTGGCATCTGTACCTGACTAGGATGAGCCCCAGTGCCTCAGACCAGCTGCTTTACCAGCCATGCCTTCTTTTAGACAGTGCCAGGCACATCCCAGCACGCCAGGTGGGTTGATTGCAACAGCTTTAATGAGATGCTGTAGTGAAGTCAGAGGAAAGACTTGGGCCAACGTTCCTGGTTGTATCCCAAGCCTCAGATACAGCCTACTGAGCTCCCAGATTGGCTGGTAATCATTTAGAAAGAGCTGGACTGCCAGTGGTGAAGGCTGCTCAGATGGGCAGGGGAGTTCTGTCTCTCCACCAGCTACCACCACTGGCTGCAGCAGTTTCCATCTCTGGGGTGTGCAGTCATCAGTGCCCATGGACTTTGAATGCTCCTGGGCCCTCGGTCCGATCTGTTTCTGTTAAGCCTGAGACTGAGCTGCTTTTCTGCTGCTTTAGAATGGAAAGCAAGAGTGAATGTAGCATCTTTAATGTTTCCTGACTTTTAATACTAGGATGGTGATGTTGTGGCCCCTCATCTAACTCCAATGAAGAGAACCTGGAATAGCATGAGAGATGGTGAGCACTGGAAAGCCTCAGAACCCAGCTGCAAGCAAAGGCTTCCCTTTGATGAGTAACACCTTTCCTCCAGGCACTACTTAGTCTCCTTCCTCAGAAGATGGGTAAACCTGAGCTGCAACTCTTCTAAAAGCCACTTGGATGGACTGGAAGGATTCATGGAACAATGCAGAACTGCATTTTGCAGTGCAATGTGTTTAAATGTAGACATTTCAACAGAGTGCATATTCCAAATGGACTTCTAAAAAGCAGCTTATTACAGCAGAGTAAGGTCAGTTCTCATTTATCTTTGAATGTACTGGCACTGGGCAGCAAGAGGAACTTTATAAATTGCAATTCATTGTTATGACAAGATTTTACTATTCCTCCTAGTCCTGATCCCCCCTTTAGCTGACTGTGCTATTGCATGAGTTAGGAGAAAAAAATTCCAGGTTTGATGGTTTTTTTGGTGATGGTGGTGAGGTGCTGGATTTTTTTGGTGCCTGAGGAAGAGAGGAGCAATATGCTAGTGAAAATAGAGTGAGGTAAGGAAGAAATAACCAAGGATGGCATCTGCATCCTTAAGAAAAGCAAACCAACTTTTGGAAAAAAAAAAAGAGGGGAATATTTTTGATAAAAGATTATTTTTGTGGTATTCCAAAAGCTGGTGGAGAGTGCCCACAGTTTTTATTGAAGTAACAATGCATTGCAGCACCATGCAGCCTTTTATTGTTTTATCACGTGTTTTTGATACATTGAATGTTACATTTTTACTGTCTGAACTGCAAAGACCACTCAGAACGTCCATGGTGTGAGTGGCTGCAGGAAAGCCCAGCTGCCCAGGTGTGTGCCAGGGCAGGTGAACCTGTGCCAGCTGGGCAATGCCAGCAGGATGCTCTGCTCTGCCTGCACCGAGTGCACCTTGTTTCTGCATTACACTGTACTAGCAGACATCAGACTTCAGGAATCCCTCCATTCTGCCCTGCCCTGCTCTTCTGCATCCCTGGTCCCTGTCCCTGCATCACTTTGTCTCCCTGCTAGATCTGTGAAGGTGCTCCAAGTTTTCCCTTACTGGCAACACTGGTGTGAGTGTTGCTGGATATGTGTCCCGTTGAACAAGTGACCGAGGAAGATCTTTTTCCTCTCATCTTTTACTCAGGTCTAAGAGGAATGCTGCTGCTTTCATTAAATAAACCCTAAAAGCTTGAAGAAGTCCATCCTCAGAACTAAAACCATGAAGTAAAACTACATTTAATGCTCAGGAATTGGAATGAGCTGTGGATTTGCATTGGGAATGGGGAGAGAAGCGTTGGGCATTCAGTTGGGGCAGCAGGTGTGGGTGACCAGGTGAAGTCTTAAACTAACCCAGGGGAAGGTGCTGTGAGAGAACTGCAGAACTCTCATCATGGCTCCTTTGCCCTTTTCATCCTGAGAACTGGTGCTGTTAGGCAGAGGGACGGAGGAGTATCCATGTACTACTTAGACTTTGTTTCTTGAAATGAGCAGAAGTCGTTTTGCACTCTGCTGCTTTCTTAGGTACCCATGCTCATGTGTCTGAAGGTGTTCCCTCTGCTGTTGCTGTCTCTAACAGTGTTTCAGATCTGCAGGTGAACCAGGTAACTGTTGGAAAGGCTTGTGACCTTGAGAAGCTTTTACAGAACTTGTTACACTTCAGGAAAAGTATCATAGAGTGAAGGCATTTCTGTCCCTTGTCTGCTTCAAATCAAGTCTTCAGAGTAATCTAACTTTGTTACTGTTCTAGGGTTTGTTTTGAGTCTGTTCTAAGAGGTGCACTTTATGGTTGCTTATGTTAAAGCAGAAATGTATACTTAATGTTCAGTTCTGAGAGCATTTGTTTTCTCGTGTTCATCTGAGCCTCTCTGAAGAAGAAATTTATAAATGATGATTTTACTATTCTTTGAAAGAGTTGCAATGTGTGGAGTTTATTACAAACAGCCTTACTGTGTCACCATAAACACCCAGAGATGTTCCTGGAGGACAAACACTGCTCTGTGGAGGATCTTCCCTCTGGAAGAGTTGGGTTCTTGGTTCATCTCTGCTCAGGGACAATGTGGTGGTGACAGCCGGAGGGGTCGGGGGGCAGGGAGCTCATGGAGACTCCAGGACAGAGGATCCCACCTCTCCTCGTGTCTTGTGCAGCCCCAGCTGGGAGAACAGGCCTTCCTCTGGCCTCAGCCTCCTCCCAGGGGCCGGGGAAGCTTCAGAGGCTGCTCCAGCTGTTGTGTGAGTTCATGCTTGACCAACCTGGTCACCTTCTGTGCTGAGGTGACTGGCGTGGAGGCTGTGGAGAGAGCAGTGGGTGTCAGCCTCAGCAAGCTGTTACAGGGGCATGAGCTGACAGGAGTGGAGCGAAGCCTGGCTGGGGTGGGCTCAGGGGGCACAAGTGTGGTGGGAAGTCTGTAACAGCAGTCTGCCCTGGGGGTTAGTGCTGGGTCCAGCTCTGCTCTGTGCCCTAGCTGTGCTTACAGGCTGTGCCCACAGCAGTGGCATTGCACCTAAACAGGTGTGTTGAGGTCCCCAGGGGCTGGTGCTGTTCAGAAGGGAGTGTTGGGTGGCACCAGGCCACAGGAGGTCAGGTGCCCTGAAGGGCTCTGGGTATGTTAAGGGTCCTGTGAGGGGCACAGGGCTGGAGAGGTCTGATCCCCTAAGGGCACCTGATCAGAGGAGCCATGAGCAATGGAACAGCCAACCCTCATGGCCATGGGACAAGGGAGGTGATGAGGATGGAGCTGGACCAGCACCCCAACAGCTAGGCATGGAGCTCTGGGTGGGAAGGGGCCTAGAAGGGCTCTTGTCCTCCCTCCCTGGTGGGAGCAGGTTGGCCTGGGATGCCCAGCACAGCTTGGATATCCCGAGGAGGAGGAAGCCCTTGTGCCCACGGGGTGATAGGGTGGACAGAGTGTGTGGACTCAGCCAGAGCAGGGATGGATCCCTGCACCCCCCGGAGCAGTGCCCCAGGCTGAGCCCCACAACTTGCAGACCAGGCTGGGACAGGGCACGGCGGGGGCTGGC